GATTCTGAATTTTTTTTTGTAAATTTCCTTCTCTTTATATTTTTATTTAAATTCTAAAATATTTATTAGTTTTAAATTAGTTTAAAATATTAATAAATAGGTAAAATATCGTCCACTTCATATATTAGGTCTAGACAATATATATTAGGTCTTTACCTATGAAATTGCCTTTCTTCAGTACTGGTCATTTCAAATAAAAAAAGTTTGTAATGGCACTGTATTCTAAATACAAATTAATTTTGTTTTAAAACCATGACATTCTATTTACAAACTCAGTCTTTTGTTTTTTGATTAGCGTTGTATTTTTATTACATTTGAACATTTTTCGTCATAATGGATACTTTAAAAATTCGTGTAATTATGGAATATGAGTTCCATCGTGGCACCAACGCGACACAAACGGCACGTAACATCAAAAACGTTTACGGAGAGAACTGTACAAACGAACGCACAACCCGTTATTGGTTTTCCCGGTTCCGTTCTGCAAATTTTGACTTGAAAAATGAAGCTCGTGGTTTGATGAGACTTTGGTTAACAATAATGAATTAAAGGCGATTGTGGAAGCTGACGAAACTCAATCTACAGCTGAGCTAGCAGCAGCTTTTAATGTAAGCATCAAAACAATATTGATCCATTTGCGACAAATTGGCAAGGTAAAAAAGCTTGATTAATGGGTGCCCCACGACCTTAACGATTGCCAGCGCAACGTACGCGTCGAGACCTGCCTTGCGCTGCTCAACAGGCAAAGAAATGAAGGAATTTTGAAACGAATTGTTACGTGCGACGAAAAATGGATTCTGTTCGACAATCGAAAGCGCTCAGCAAGTTGGTTAGACCCTGGTTCAGTACCAAAGCAATGCCCTAAACCAAAAATGACCCCTAAAAAGGTGATGGTCACTGTTTGGTGGTCTAGTGCGGGTGTGATTCACCACAGCTTTTTACAAAACGGCATGAGCATTAATGCAGATGTGTACTGTGAAGAACTGGAGAGAATAATGGAGCAGCTTGCACATCTGCAACCAGCTTTGGTCAATCGGTCGTCCCCACTGCTCCTTCACGACAACGCGCGACCCCATACTGCGCAACAAACAGTCTCCAAGTTGCAAGAGCTGGGGTTGGAAGCTCTCCCTCATCCGTCATACTCACCAGACCTTGCACCTACCGACTATTACTTTTTCCAAAATTTAGACAACTTTTTAGTGGGTAAAAAATTCAATTCCCGAGAGGCAGTACAAAATGCCTTTGAAGAGTTTGTTGCCTCCCGTCCAGCTGATTTTTACAAGAAGGGCATCAATAAACTGCCAATGCGTTGGCAAAGATGCGTCGATTGCATGGGTGATTACTTCGAATAACAGAAATAAAAAAGTTTGGAAAAATAAGTACTTTCACTTATTGCATACAAAACGGCAATTTCATAGGTAAAGACCTATTATAAAGACTGAAAAAATTACGGTTGCCGTTGCGCACTCGGCCGCATCTCTTCGCAGCCAGGTGTAAACAGGTATGATTTTGAGACATTTATACGTTCATAACGTACGTTTATTATTTATTATTAAATTAAAGCATTTTTTTCTGTTTATTGTGATATACGGTTGCCTAATTAAATCTGGCCGCAAATAAGGGTTGCTGGCTGTTAAAGATGGTAAATATTTAAGCTAGAGTGAAAGAGAGTTAGCGCGTAACATCAGTAGTCAAAAGAGGATAGCGATTGCCAAGTTACGACGCTTTAAACGACGCTTTCTCGTACTATAAAAGTAACCACAGCGCTGATTTACAGTTGAAGCCCGAAGATACCTCACGGACGTGTGCACAGTTTTAATACCACATAGATTCATGTGATAATTACATACATACCTACATTAATTACATAACATATGCCATAGATAGATATACGCTATTTTCTATAGATAAATGAAAGGGAAACGATTCTAAAATATACCTATTGTTTAGTTATATCTCAAAGGGTTTTTTTTTTATTTATTTTTTTACATAACTACACAATTAGTTAAATGTAGGTAAACCTTAAACCACTGAGGTTTATGCGGCATGCCACAACATGCAAAATCATTTTAGTACATAACAGTTAATAAGTAAATAACATACGCAATTACAATAATAACATTACTTAATAGTGTTAAGTTTAGGGTAGAATACACGCAGCGAGTGCTGGCCATCAGGATCATAACCGCACGATACCGCACGATCTCCTTTGAGGTGGCGAGTCTCCTGGCCCGGCCAGGCTGGCCGTAACTCCACCGTGGGACCTGGAGGCGAGAGCCCTTGCGGCTCTATATCAGTGGCGCATGGAGGCGCGGGAGTTGGGCTGGAGTCCTGAGACTCGAGAAATTGATGACCGGAAATCCCAACTCCGCCCAACTCCAGGGCCAACTCTTGTAGGGGAGTGGAAGGTACGACTGTACTGTAACGCTGACTGTATAACGCGGGGTACGCCGTCGTCGCGGCGGTGAGACCCGTTATGGAGGATTGGCTCGAGAGGCGTCACGGGACCCTCTCATACCGACTGACGCAGGTGTTCACTGGGAAAGGATGTTTCGGGGATCACCTGTGTCTGATCCGCAAGGAGCCAACGCCTGAGTGCCACCACTGCGATGGTCAGACCGTGGACATGGCGCTCCACACGCTGGCAGAATGCCCGTCGTGGGTGGAGCAGAAGCTGTGACTTCATTTCTTTATGTCTATAACTTTAATCTTATCTTGACCTGGAGGCTTAAAACCGTTCAATTTATCTATGATTTTTTTTTGACATCGTGTGGTGTATTTTTACTAGCATACTAACATCACTGTGATCAAGATAATCGGTCTCTTTAAGAAGTTGCACTTTACCTCGTCGTAATATTTTGTTAACGGAGTTATTGAATTCGTCGGCAAATCCTTTTTCCATTTCTAGGTGGGAGGGATTATGGCTGCTAAATGCTTTTAAAATAATTTGCTCCACTAGTTTAGTAACTCTGCCACAGAGTGAATTTATTAGTTGCCAGAGTTTTTTTGAGTTAGAGTAGTTATTCCATATAATTGTTTTAAATTAGCAATTTTTGTGATATTCTATGACTTTATGACATGTGGTACGTGATTTAATATACTGCAATCTAAGACATTTATTGGTTGGATCTGATCTCCATAGTTTAAATAGAGATAGATCCCTAATTTCACATACATTTAAAATATTTATACCTTGGTGATGCGCATTTATTTTTTGTCTGGAGAGCTTTAATGTTAGCGTTTTTAATAAAATTATATATTTGCTTAGGGCAGGTCATTTTTGCCTTAGTAGAACAGTCTACTTTTCCAATATTCTTTAGTCATAGCAATGTAATTTTTCAGTTTTGTAAACAGTCTGTACATGCGCTTGTACGTCATCACAACTGCCAGCAATGAGAGTGACCCGGTGGTCTGCTAGAACAGTGTCTACGGCTGCCGAGTACGCACGCCACTTGCGTAGCCTAGCAAAATATGGTCAATGCATGATTTTGTTATTTTATTCGCACGCTTATCAATTCTAGTGTAGTCGGATATTCCACAGCGGAACCCGTTTTCAGCGAGCATATTCGTATAGTTCTCTGTGTGCGGAATATGTTTTGAGATTTTTGTTTATATCCCCGCGTAACATCATGTCAGTGGATGTATTATATTTTCTCAGAAGGTTGGATATAGGAATTGACGTACCGAAGCTTGCGTACCGATTTTGTTACTAATATTACAATAAAAAAAAGAAAAAATAAATTCAGGTGACAAAAATAGTTTTATTAGTTGAGGGTGGTCTATAGATTGCACACACAGTTACCCGGTTATTAAATGCCGTTATTAAAGTGCCTGTTATTGTTTCAAAGGAGTGTGTTGTTAATGTGCTAGTGGTAAATTTAAGATAGTCTTTTACGTAAATTATTATTCCACCTCTTTTCCTGTGTGACCTTAATTGTGTGTGCATTCTGTAGACCGGTATTTGAAAAATAGTACATACATTATTAGATATACCTACTTCGGTGACAACAATGATATGTAGTGATATTGTTGAGGAGCCTATGACACATAAAAGCTTAGAGATTTTTTTTTAAATTGATTTTACAACGTTTTTGATGAAAGCTCCCGATCGGCTTGTTATTTTGTAACATCTTCAACTATTATCTTTATAACCAATTTACAGAAAACATTAACAAATTATACATATCATTCTTTCTCATGAATCACTTTGTCTATTAGTGAAAACCATAAGAAAATCCGTTCAGTAGTTTTTTAGATAATCGCGTTCATGCAGCGAGGTAGACGCTGCGAAGAACTTACTCCTATAAAATGTATTATACTACATAGTCAAGACCTTTCATTTGCTATATTGAGGGTTTTGAAAAACATATGTAATCCGCCATTTAGAGATGGCAGCCATCTTAGACTCACAATAAAACTGAATATAGAAGTAAAGGTTCCAAATTTTGGGTCTATCGATTAAGACGAAGTGTAAATTTTTCGTTACTAAACATGACCCAAACAGGTCAAGTTAAACCAGTTAAATACCTAAATAAAATGGCGGAAGGGTTAAAGTTAAACTATCAGGTCTATGTGCTTAACCGTGTTCAATTGGGTTTATTTGATTACAAAGCTGTTTTCATTCAAATTAACTCTAAGAAACAACTATAGCATCTTCAGCAGCCCTACAAAGCCGCAGTTTGTTAGACTTTGAAACTCACACAAAAAAATTGTGCGACAATTTTATCGTTAATCCTTTCAAATTTTAACATCACCGATAAAAAAAAACGATAAAAAGTAAACGCACACTTTTTTCCCAATCCAAATAAAATATCATTTTAAGATAACATTATAATTAACAAGAAAAAACTTTACACAGCAAAATTATGCAATTGTGTTGTAGTTTAAAAACTTTTATTAGTAACTTAAAAAATTAAACTGCTTTTTAGACATATTGTATTGGTATTCATAAACGTGTTCTACTAAAATTTCAGGTCACGTTAGCCAACTGACGAGATAGATTAGCCATTAAAATAAAAATATGGATTATAATCCACTCCCCAGCCACCTGGTGGAGGCTTAAGGTGATCTTTGTGGACAGTGACAACGACAGCCTCATATTCTGAAACATTTTCTTCGTACACCGGTTCTGTAGTTGTAGTTGTTGTTCCATCATATAAGTTAGAGTCCCCAGCCTTGGAGCCCCCTACATGTTCTGTTTCTTTGGGAAAATATATTTGTGTCAAATTACTTAAAAAACTAAAGGATGATTCCTTATCATCAGACGACGGCAATTCCTCGTCTATTTCAAATAGATTGCCACCAGTTTGTTTTGGAGGTTTAATACCAGTACCCCAAGAGGCTCCGGGATATGAGTTCGGTGCCCATCCAGAATACAAATGTGATGACCACCATCCATTACTAAAGTAGCCTGTTAAATGTTTACTTTTTTTCTTAGTAGTAGTTGGTTTTGTGATAGGCGGTTTCTTATTTGTTTCAAGGGGAGACGATGGTTTCATATCATTGCCTGGTTGTGATGGTTTCATGTTATCACCTGGGGTTGGTGGTTTCATGTTTTCGCCTGGATGTGATGGTTTCGTACTATCACCTGGTGGTGATGGTTCCATGTTATCGCCTGGTTGCGATGGTGCCATATTATCACCTGTTGCTGATGGTTTCGAGTCATCATCTGGTTTAACTCCTTCGGAAGCTTCGTTTTCTCCAGCAGAACCGCCGGTTTCAGAAAAGTATTTAACTCCCCACACGGCGGTGCCTACCAGGAAAGCACCCATTAATAAGCTGTAAAATAAAACAGATGTAAATTATTTTATCATTGCAGGAGATCAATAAATTTCTCATTGATCGTAAGAGTACGAGTACAAACTAAACCAATCTTTATTTGTGCACCATCGCTACAGTGGAAGTATCCTACACAAACTACATATACGACTTACTTTTAATATTAAGTTCATGTAATAATTCACTATAGCGTCTACGTTTGCATTGTTGTGGCTATAGCCTAGTTTGGGAATCAGTACTTACTAAGTATTGTGCTAACGATATTGAGAATCACGTTTTCAACCTAACAAACACACTAACCAATTGCTTTGAACAAACATGACCACTTTCTATACTTAGAACTGGAAAACAGAATCAACATCCCCGGTGGGGACCAGAGCTAGGGAAGTGACGTCGTAAACTAAGAAAGTTGTTCAATAAACCTAAACACTGCGGACTTAATCAACACCGTGGTGCCTACATGCAGACTCGGCAACAACACAAGAAGCGAATCAGAACCAGGAACACTGAGCACTGGAGGAGCGTCTCTAAAACAATAGAGAATAACTACATGGTCAATAGAGTCAAAAACATTTATTTATTAAGCATTTACAATATCTTTTATTATCATCATCTTAGCTGAAAGACGTCCACTGCTGGACGTAGGCCTCCCTCAAGGCTCTCCACAACAACTGGCCCTATACTCCCCTCATCCAACGGCTTTCCGCGACCTTATCAGTTCGTCGGAACACCGTGTAGCCTACCCACGCTCCGTCTTCCGGTACGTGGTCGCCATTCGAGAACTTTCTGGCCGGCCGGCCGTCTTTTCTACGAGCAATGAGCCCCGCCCACTGCCACTCAAGATTGTCAATTCTCCAGGCAATGTCAATAACCTTGGTTCGTCTGCGGATCTTCTCATTAGTGATTCGATCACGCGGATGAATTCCGAGCATTGCCCTCTCCATTGCTTGCTTTGGGTGATTTTGAGCCTCCTTATGAGGCCTATCTTGAGCGACCACATTGTCACCCGTGAACCACTCGTATTAACCACAATCTTAATAGATGCACTTTAGTCGATACTAGATGGCGCTGTCCTCCACATTTCATACATTCTTTTTTTTTTCATTTATTTTGGCACAAACAGTCATTTAAAACAAAAATTACACAATAAATATACATAGGGTGATAGACAACGAGTGCCGAAATCAGTTTTTTGTAATAATTAAAGTCTATGTGTTGATTTAGAAAGCTGCATGAGTCACAGATGTTACAGAGTAAAGTACTTATATTAATACTATGCAAGCCTTTACATATCATATTGTGTAAGACAAAATATATCAAATAAAATAAAATATATAATAATAATACGCAGCATACATATGTTTAGTTATTTTTTTGCCTATTGACACAGATTTTCAAACAACATTTGCTTAAACTTTTGCAATAAGTTACTAAATAAATCTATATCAGAGAAGTTCTTATTGTAATTATTGAGGCATCGTGTGAAAAAAATATTTTGACAGTATTTTTTTCGAGAACGAAGTGGTGTAAATATCTTACCGAGCCGTGAGGAGCGTACAGGAAGTCGAAGTTTATCGATGAAGTTAATTTTGGAGAGAATTATATTTGAGTCAATACAGTTATTTAAAATTTTGTATAGAATAGTTATGTCAAACTGCGTGCGCCGATCCCGAAGGCTGAGTAGTTTATATCGAGCTAAAGATTCCTCATAAGAGCCTGATGGGACACAGTTGCGATAATTTAGAATTCTGATGAATTTTTTTTGGACCTTTTCTAACTGATCTATGTGTTCCTTGTAGAATGGGTTCCAAAAAATGCTTCCAAAGTCCAATATAGACCTAACAAAACTAAAATAAAGCATTTTGATAGTAGTACTATTTTTAAAAGGCTTAGTGACTCTGTTGATAAATTCTAAGTTTAGTAGTAGTTATGAAGTCGTAATGTGATTTAAATGTTAGCTGACTATCCATTATAATACCCAAGTCCCTTATATTACTAACTCTTCCAAGAATTTCGTTATTTAATTTATAATTGTAAATAATAGGAGATTTTTTACGCGTATAGCTGATAATATGACATTTTTTGGGATTAAGAAACAGTTGGTTTTCGTGACAGTATTTAAGTAAGGAGTCTAAATCGTCTTGTAATTTACCACAATCGACAGAACTAATAACCGATCGAAATAATTTAGTATCATCGTATAAGAGCTGACTGGTATTACATAAAGTTTTGCCGATATCGTTAACATATAAAGAGAATAGGACAGGTCCAAGATGAGAGCCTTGGGGGACGCCTGAAGCTATCGGTATGTACGTGGAACAGTAACGCTTTATACAAACAGCCTGACTGCGGTAACGAATGTATGAATCTATCCATCTAAGTAGTTTGCCGTGTATACCGATTCCCCGAAGTTTTACAATTAGTAAATTATAATTAATTTTATCAAATGCCTTGGAGAAATCGGTGTACACGACATCCACCTGTGTATTTTTATCCATAGAATTGAGTAAATAGTCGACAAAAGTAACCATGTTAGTTTCGACACTGCGATGTTTAAAGAATCCATGCTGATCTGCAGATATGATATTTTTTGTTTCGAGGGAGTTGGGTTGTAATTATCTTTTCAAATATTTTGCCAAAAATACATACTTTCGATATAGGTCTATATTCAGATACCAATTCACGACAATTACTTTTTGGTATTGGTGTAATAAAAACTTTCTTCCAAATATGGGGTATCGACCACGTTCCACAGATAAACGGAAAATTAGATTAATAGATCTTAGTAGGGCCTCAGCACATTTAGCGACAAAAATGGCGGGCACGCCATCGGGCCCCGCACCTTTGTATAGGTTGACTATTTTGAGTTCTTTAAGTATTATATGTGTATCTAAGTTAATAGAACTAATATTAGCTGAAGTATATTCACTATGGTCAGTATCATACAAGTTACAATTGTTTAAATTATTTGCAGGGACAAAAACAGACTGGAAATACTCATTAAAAGCAGTATAAATATCTGTACCGGTCCTAAGAGGAGTACCATCATGATACATAATGTGCGGAATATTTCCTAGTTGCCTTTTAGACTTCACGTAAGACCAAAAGTAATTCGGGTGTTTGCGAATACGATCTTCGGAGAAAGACACATATTTTTCAAACCTTTCGCGCTCTAACTTCATCAACATCAACAGCCTATACTAGTCCACTGCTGGACATAGGCCTCTCCTTAGAAAGGAGGTTTTGGCCTACTATACCACGCTGGCCAGACGGGTTGGTATAGGGTTTGTTTCAAGTTCTCTCGCCTACAGTTGGCCAACGAGAGACTGACGGGGCGGGTGAACGAGCTGAGCGCTCAGTTCGCCCGCTTCCCACTCCGACACCTCTGCCGGGCCCCTCCGCAACTGCCCCCTCCAACGAGAAGAAAGAAGAGATTATTACGCATATCTGCGATGCGGCCATGCCCCGCATTCGAGGTCGTTGGCCTCCAAGGAAGGAGGTCTACTGGTGGTCCCAGGAGCTGGCGGACCTCCGTGCGGCCTGTACACGTGCCCGGAGGTCCTACACGCGCAGTCGGCGGCGTCACCGTGGAGACGGTGAGGAGGACCGGCTTCATGAGGAGTACCGACAGGCGCGGAAAACTCTGAAGCTGGCCATTAGCCGCGCCAAGGAAGAAAAAAGAGAGGAGATGCTGGAGGGTCTTGATCGTGACCCCTGGGGTCGCCCTTACCGCGCAGCGCGACAAAACGGAGACCCCCTTACGGATACTCTCCAGCCCAGCTTCCTGCGAGAAGTGGTTGAGGGCCTTTTCCCGCAACGGGCGGAACACACTCCCCCGGCGATGGCCTCCTTGGCCGGAGACGACGGGGAGCACGAGGAGGATGATGTTCCGCCCGTCCGGGATTCGGAGGTAGGGGCGGCTGTTCTACGGATCCGTTCCAAGAATACCACTCCTGGGCCAGACGGGGTACCGGCCCGAGTGCTGGCCCTAGCCCTCAACCACATGGCAGACCGCCTCGGGGAGGTGTTCGACGCTAGCTTGGCGTCGGGACGTTTCCCTGAGTGCTGGAAGAGCGGGAAGCTGGTCCTATTAAGGAAGCCGGGACGGCCTGCCGATTCGGTCGCGGCCTATAGGCCCATCGTACTGCTGGACGAGGCGGGTAAATTGTTTGAGAGGGTTCTCTCTGCCCGCATCGTCCGGCACCTCTACGAGGTGGGCCCCGATCTGTCGGACGCCCAATTTGGTTTTCGGGCGGGGCGTTCGATAGTCGACGCTGTTTTATGCCTGTGGGCCGTGACCGAAGAGGCCGTGAGCTGTGGCGGCGTGCTGTTGGCGGTGTCATTGGACATCGCCAACGCATTCAATAGTCTGCCATTCAGCTCATCAGGGAAGCACTCCACTATCATGGGGTGCCAAAGTACCTGAGGCGGCTAGTGGCAGACTATTTAGAGGAGCGTACCGTCGTGTACGAGGACCGAGAAGGTAATTCAAGGTGTCGGCCCATGTCGTGCGGTGTTCCACAGGGGTCTGTTCTTGGACCCCTCTTGTGGAACATAGGGTACGACTGGGCCCTTCGAGCCGATTTCCTCCCCGGGCTGGGTGTACTTTGTTACGCAGATGATACCTCCAAGAGGCGGCGCGCCTGGCCACAAGGGGAGTCTCCCTGGTGGTCGGGCGCATTGAGGCGCTAGGCTTACGGGTGGCCCTAGATAAGACGGAGGCTCAGCGTCGCGACAAGACGGCTGTACACGGGGGTTGTCCGGTCAATGGCACTATACGGTGCACCGGTGTGGGTGGCGGCTCTGACCGCCCAGAATAGGGCACGCCTCTGGCGCCTTCAGAGGGTATTGGCGGTCAGAGCCATACGCGGTTACCGCACCGTTTCGACTGAGGTGGCTTGCGCGTTGGCCGGAACTCCCCCGTGGGATTTGGAGGCGGAAGTGCTCGCCGAAGTTTATCGGCGAGTGGCTGACTCCCGGGCGGAGAGCGGATTTCGCCC